TAGACAACCACCCCCGACCATACTGAGGAATCCGGAGGTGCCAGAGTTTTATGGATAAACCTAACAACAGAAGACAATGGTGTCGTAGTTCATGAGTTCCAACTCAAGTGCCATCTTGTGTCCTTCAACCTATGGCTTCACAGACTTAGATCATTGCAATTTCTTTCAATCACAAGTGGAAGCCTATCCAACCTCACAAGAACACTAAGTCACTTTCGTTGTTATTCTTCCACAAACAGACTTTGTTGTTTTAAAGCCAACTCCTGCAGTTTATTTGCTGCTAATCAGTTGGTAACAAACTAATGTCATACCTGATCGAAAGGCTACACTGAAAGGCGTGGCACCGAATCGATGAAAATGCGATCCCCGTACCGATTCTCAACTGGGTTATTATTTGTACGTATGCAACTTGAACTCACGCACCCCACTTTTTCGCCTTCCTCAATCAGTTTCCCCACAAGTACCATTTTATTTTCACATCTGTACATAGTCAGATAGCACAAAAGCCCCGCACGGATTTTTTTCACCCAAACGGACAATGATTCCGAGTCAATCCGTGATTATCGTGTATCTCATGTACTAAGAAAACCAATGATCATCGAATAAATAATGACTGATCGCAGGAGGTAAATGAAAACCATTATTATTGCCTCATTTTAATACTATCAAATGTGGTGGTATTACGATTGATTCGCATAGGTTCAACTACATCAGATTTTTTCGTTTTTTACTAAACCCGGTTATCTGATTCACGCATTCTCTCTTTTGTTTCCTCTGCGGCCTTCAATCTTTCTCGGATCACATAAGGGACCAATAAGATGGTTTGCTCACGGAATTCACCAGTATCGCCCCCCCCCCCAATCACAGTGCTTGAATTAGGAATTTAGATGAAAAGCAGAGAAAAAGTGAATAACTTAGAGAATAACGCGGACACAGAAAATCAAATGACGAAGTTTACAACCGAGTGTTACTGGGACCGTGAGTTGATATTTCTCCTTGTTTATTGATCTCAAATCATCTCTCCATCCCTCTCTCTCTTTTTTGAGATCTTTTCATCATCTTGCGTTCTCTGTAGGATACACGATCATTAAAACTTTCATCCAAAAGGAAAAGAAAAGTACGTTTTCAATCACTTTCGCTTAATTACGAACATGAACAAGGAGAAAAATTCGTGTTCAACCATATTGCACTTAACTCAAGACAATTGACGTCATAAGCTCCCGACGCGTTGTACTTCGGTGCAGAATAAATCGACCGTGGCCAGTTCGCACAGCACAGCCTGAGATTGACTCTCGTGACCAACGCAAACAGTAAGCTGCCAGTCTAAGGGTGGAATCACTGCCTCGGCTCTAATGTGAGAGCGCACAGCATAGCCTTATCGACTATCTAATTATCAGGTTGTTGATAAGTTCTCGCCGTTGCATGAAACTATTTGTTCTACAAAGACTTTTTGATGTTTGGCGAGGTGTTATATGCGATTAGAAAGCTACGCTCTACAAGATTAAAGTTTTCGCTCACATTATTTTTTGTCTTTTTTTAGCACCGTCAAATGGATTGTCAAGTCGACAAAAAATCGCACTTTCGACACCTTTTCACCTTTAATCGAGGTCAAAAAGCGAGTGAAGCTACCAGAGATGTTTGAGCGAACTGCTTGGGATTGGCTGGCCAGCTGCAAACACGACAATTTCGATCTCAACGACGCTCCTCGTTCCGGTAGACCAGGACCAACTGAGGGATAGTTGGATGGCCGGCAGACATGCATAGATTTGGGCGAAAAGATGAATTGTGATTTTGCGACAATTTGACTCCACCTGCAGTCGTTGGGTTTCACTCGAAAGCTTGGGTCCCGCACGAACTCACTCAAAAGAAGAAGGATAAGCGGCTTTTCATTGCTGCTGTACATCTCACTCGACACCAAGGTACCCAGGACCACAGGCAACGTTTCTTACTCCGAATCGTCACTGGAGGCGAGAAATGGTGAATATGAAGCAAAGGAAAGAGTAAGTGAATCCTGGAGAGAAGCTTAAGCCTAGAATCAAGAAAGACCTGCACCCGATGAAGACAATGATTTGCGTATGGTGGAATTGGGAAGGTCTAATCCACTGGGAAATGATTGGAGATAACATGACAGTATGGAAGAATCTCTATAAAGCCCAATCACATAGAGCCAACAAAAAAGACCGGATCGACAAGGCCTGGTGATCCTTCTCCATGACAATGCTCGACAACACACCGCAAAACCTGTCAAGATGGCACACCAAGAGCTCAGTTGGGAGGTCCGTCAACATCCTCCCTATACCCCAAACCTCGCCCCCACGGATTACCAAATCTTCCGCTGCCTTTCAAATGAAATGAGGGGTCCTAGCATCCAAAATCAGGATCATCTTCAGAATGGGTTCAACAACTTCTTAGAGACTGGATTTTAGGAGTTCTGGCGAAATGGAATCAACAAACTGGTAGAAAGAAGTAGTGAACAATGATGGAGAGTACATAAATCATTGAAGTGTTATTATTTTGGCCGTTAAAATTTTATGACTTCAGTAAATATATAATTGACTGAGCCATTATTTTGGTTGTAAAAATTCCATGATTTCTCTGAAAGTAAATGTTTTAAAAACGGCGGGAACTTATGCAACAACCCAATATAAGCGGTCTTTGCTAAACAGAATTGGCGCTGATTATTTTTAGTGATAAATGGGTGGTAAATGATTGGTGCTACTTCACGAGGGGAGGGAAATACAAATAAAAACTTATACGAGCCCATTTCACTGTTGCTATTGTTTTGGTTGCGCGATTTCCTAGTTCAAAGTGAACACATAAACAGTACTCAAAAATTATATAGAAGCCCATTTTAAACAAAACATTCTAAATTAATTTAGCTATCCGATTGGTGTAGCTCACGGTTTTCGCTCAGTTACCGGAAGGTTTGCGTTCCGGCAGGAGAATAAACATAATACGCACTGCTGATGGGACAGTGATCTTTATCGGTCATCGGACAATAATTCCGTCTTACGGAGAATACAAAACCACAAGAATAAATGAATGATGGGGAAAGTAAAAATGTATACATGATTGCGCGTTTGATATGGCAAAACCCAATCGAATATATGTGTACAAATAAACCTTGTATGAAATTGAACATTGATGACAGATCAACCTCTACCGCAAACAAATCATTACACAGTCGAGAATGAGAAAAAGGAAAGAAATTGAAGCGAAAGAGGAACAATGATGAAAATAAAATGAAAAAAAAACACGATTGTGGATGCAACTTCGACGAGAACAGAGTGATTTTTATGGTAACTGTGACTAACTGTAATCGTACACACGATGTGGTCGAATTGTCCAGATGAAGTGCATGATCTGATTTGATTATGTCTACTTGAAATTATTTTTTCTTGTGAATGACAGAATGTACAAAATGAAACCATACAGAGGGAGTGTGTGCAACAGTACCTGTAGAGGAAGATGATGAAAAGATAAGAGGAGAAAAGGCAATAAGTAATGAGCAGCGTCCAAGTGACAGGACCGAGCAGAGAGAAGTGTGGCATAACAAACTGAGCATGTCCTCAGGACATGTCAAAAACATGAGACAGAAAGAGAGAGAGGGATGGAGAGATGATTTGAGACCAAAACACTTCGTAAGGCAGCTTGTGTGAACTGTGTGTGGCACATATTTTGGCGATTTGGGAACAGTGGTGTTTTATGTGAATGGCACTAATGACGATGTATCTAGTTTCCAAACGATCAAATGATTGCGTTCCTTGGAGAATGAACAGGTCGAAGGATTGTCCAGAACAGTACCGCTCTTCACATCCACTGCAGAAAAAAGCCACGATGGAACAGGAGTGAATAGAAAATAAATCGAATTTAAGCATTGTCGAAGTAGGAAAATATTCTCAAAAAAGGTAAGATCATCTGCTCGACGATTCAAACAAGCATACTTATGCAATTGGGCTGTATACTTTGGTATGACCAACCGATAGTAAGGGAAGCTCGTCAATTGCAGATTTTTACTCTTAGTGAGAAGTTAATTAAAACTTCGATTGATGAGCCGTCCAAAACTTCGATATGATAAACGTGGAATAGAATTAATCAACGACAGATGATTACCGGTAACGTTGAGTGTCAGTGATTTCACTGGGACTCTCACAAAACAGTCTGAGAACGAATCGAACTAACCCTTGACTAAGACTGGGAAGAATAAAAATCCATCCCTCTGCACTGGGTTTGTGGCAGAGGCAGTCAAATTATGATAGAAGAATAAAATACATATCGCAACATACTACTCGTTAGTAGGCAAGATCAAAATGAGCCATAAGTAGGGCATATGGCATACAACGTTCGTTCTACAATTATTCCTAGACAGAGTGAACTAGTGGACACGTTTTTTCACATATAATGAACTTGCACGCATGTGTAAAATAATAGGACCACTCATCAAAAGGAACTGCGCGATACAAGACAAACACAGCTGTAGTGTGCTTTCGCATGGGTCAAAACAAAACCATGTTTGATTAATTCAAGGGTGGAATATTCGTAACCGGAATTTTTACTACACAATTCATTATTTTATCGTACTGCTGATGAGCTTTAATAAGAGCTTAATAAGAGGGTCTAGTGCTTCCGAACGCATGGCTGTCTAGACGAACTGAGGATTTTGCCTGAATGTGAAGTTCTAAGGACAGTCAGTTAAAATCAAAATAAGTTATTCCCGAAACTATGCAAGCTATTTATATGGTAACGAACCTGAAGCACAGTGTTTAACCACAAAAATGATAGAAACTGCAAAAACTGGGAACTAAAATTTGCAGGCAGGATGGATCAATAATGAAGCTCCAAACTCTCGTGTATTAATTCACTACGCAAAGATGCATCGGTGTTCTATAACTATCATCCCACTTTTTTGAATGAAATGGTCCTGAAATTCATTATAAAACGTTTTTCATCAATAAGTGCGAAGTGAGAAATGAGGCGAATAAGCTGTTAATTTAAGATGTTCACAATGAAGAAGAACCGGGATACACACTTTCAGCATGTGGCACATTAAGCAGTCGATAACCTTCTCCACCGGACATAACGAGCATCGGGTTTGCCGAAGAAGTGTCTGAATTTGATGGGACTGCATCCTGTACATGAAGGGAACCGGAGTCCGCAGCTTCTTTGTGACAGGTTTTCTGGGGTCCAGTACCACGAGCAGCTATAATAAATCTGACGGGACCGTCATGCTGGTTGCGGCTTACCTAAAATCGGACAGCAGAAGTCGTAGACGCTGTGACATATTCACCAATACGTGGATAAAGATTGGATCAAATTGTATGTCTTCAAATATTCGAAAGATAATAATTGTGACAAAATGCCTTGTAGCGCTTATGATAAACCAATCAAATCCAAAAACAATGAAAGAAAAAGAAGGAATCAAGTGAGCACGTTATCTTCTCTAAACAGCGACCTGGAGTTTGAATTACGTCACCACCAGTCATCTTCATTGTTTTCGTATTTACCCCGAGCAGTCTTTGACTAGCCGAAGCCCGTGAAAATTGCGAGTACGTTTGTAATATTCAATAAACAATGAGGAAATCAAAATATTATTATAACTACAATTTGTTGAATAGATCGATTCGAAAACATTGCGGTCGTGCATGATGACGGCTATCACACGCAGGATAGCGAATTGTTAGAACGGGAGAGAGAGCATCTGCATATTCCACTCTATAAACATCAACAGGAAAAGTCAGAACACAGTAACGTGAAAGACGTATTAAAAAAAGTTCACCTTTGATATAAGGATATTATTAATTCGTAGAAGAGCTATCGGAAATAGCAGTTATTTCGTGTTTCGTCAGCGATCAGAGGTATTCTTGGGATATATATATATATATATATCAGTTTTAAGTGTGAAAACGCAATATTTTCTAATAGGAATGACTTAGGAAATATCCCAAATTATTTCCATAAACCCTTGCAATCTCGGTTGTTTGTTATGAGGTATTTTTTATCCGACATAATCCATTATAGCAACTCTATTGAACAACCAAATAAAATTCCTTCACAATCCGAGGAAATTACATTAAATAAGGTTTCATAATAATAATCTGTTTAATATCTAACTCACTGAATTCGAAAAATGCCACTTTAATCAAAGTCAACCTTGAAATCAAGGCCATTTTTGTGCACAGCTTTGAATGTTGGTATTGCTGTCGTCATAATGAAGCAAGCAGCGCTCAAAACCAAACGTTCTCGCTATCTCGGTGAAGAGGACAGAAATAGAATTCCACGAGCACACAAGCTGGGATTTTCGATATATTGCCCAATGCTTTAACGTTAACAAAAGCACAATTTACAGGATAATCGAAGGAATAGCAACAACCAGAACAGCTTGTGGAGGCCGTAAACCGAGTACATTCAGACAGGAGGACGACCTAATTAGTATTATTCTGAAAAAAATGCAGAAAATCGTTGTCGTCTATTCAACGAGAAGATCTTTGACGTTCATACTCCCTTAGTCAAAGAATGAAAACATTTCAAATGTGGCAGATTTCGGCTGATGTGAACGGGCACCAAAGGATAACTCGTATTGATTGTGCCCGAGAATTCAAATCTCCACTGCACAACCTGTAAACCACACTGTGACGTGGCAATAGCGAGCCATCACTCAATGGGATTACAGTTTCAATCTTGATTTGCCTAGGTGCCATGGATTTAACATTAACTATATTATTAGTAATCTTTCAAATTCCCCTTATTGAACACGATGGCACAGAAGATGTTCGGAAGGCAGCATGAACTGCAGCCGTTAAGACGCTGTCTACGACCCAAATAGAATGGTAAAGATGAGGCGGTTGTAGGGCGACCCGAAGTCCCGAATTCTATATTGGTCTATTATCCACTCTAACAGCTTGACAACTACCGGAAGAAGTCAATGAACTACACCATAGTTCAACAAGTCGTCTGTGACATTCACGCCGTACTTGGATGTGCAAAGGCTAGAGGTCCAACATCGAACAAAAAGGTCCGATGAGTTCACTTCTCACTCTAGACCGAGGGATACAGTACAAAAACAGCCTCGAACAGTGCTAAAGACCGCGCTCCCTGTCCTATTCCCGCGAAATTCAATGGATACTATTCCTCGAGTCAACTTATCCTACAGGAGATATTGAAAGGAGACTGAAAATGAGTACCAAGGATAGCAGAAGAGAAACATAAATAGAGGGAAAGAAATCTCGCGTGACTAGGCACAGTACACAGAGACAGTGAGTGTCATCCATTTTCTCACGCAACTAGGTTTTCAGGCAGCACAGCAGGACCAAATCGACGAATCTTCTCTGTAAACCACATGAAGAACATTCAACGACAACTGTTCACTGGAGGTTTGAGATGCACAGTGAAAATCACGTGTTGATCTATTTACTCAGCGATCAGTACATTGAAATAGAAACACGGATACGGGTCGTGTACATAGGTAGACGGAATGGCATGGGTACCACAAGTACCACACCGTTGCTCCCGAATGCTTAAATTAAAGTGCATTAAGTGCGTAACCTGAAGAAGAAAAGGAACCGAAAGTACGAGCGTATGAGGCTTGTTAACACAGCTGCAGTTGTATCCCGTTGTCCGGAAACAACATGCAAGTGGAACGTCAGTGAACGGAGAAGAAGTAGAATGGATAGCTGTAGTACACTATTCGTTTCATCGACAAGATGGAGAGAGGAAGACTATTCTATTGAAGCACTTGTTGGCTCTTTCCTTCGGAAGGTATTATAGAAAACTAACGGGAGGGAATTCGTAACGGTAGCGAAAGTGAGCGGTATTCAATGATTTTACTTGAAGGTTTGGTCTTCAACCAGGAAAGGTAACACAAACCATTCGACGCGCTCTGCAATCGCTATCCTCCAGTCCACTCTCACCCATAGCCTATAAGGGCGAATATCCAATGTCGAGGTCTGTTAGGGCAACTCAGAGAACCTAAAAAACCCAACTCTCTTGGTAATGAACTGGGTTGAGAGGAAGCCGAAAACGAGTTGATATACCACCTAGATAGAATCGTCTGGAAAATACGGAAAAGAAAATGATACGGTTGATAGACTCGTGGTAGCAAATGAGCCTTCCCTTCCACCGATGATGTTTGGGGACCGCACGAACAGACAGAAGGTCAAACGGACATAGGGAAACGATATGCATTTTAAAAGATTAAAGATAATAAATATCTACAGGCTCAAGGCATATACACAGTCAACATGTAGTGACATGCAAACGTACTTGTATACCAGACATATTAACCATGGATCGATATGCCGTGGAATTGAAGTTGCCTTGGAAGGAATCGGAAGATTTTTCTGGAACGTAACAGAGGTTTTTTGATCAAGACAGATATATACAATTTTACCACGTCGTGCGTAGAGCCATCACTCTGAGATGCGCAACGTCGAAGGCGTTATATATTCGAAATATATGAGCAAACCGCCGATCGCATTGTGGGTTTAAGCTTTCAGCAAAGATTAAACGATTACATCAGTCGCTGAGCTGTGAGCCCATGAAATGCCAAGGTAGTTAGAGCAAAAACAGACTCCGGGTAAGTATTTACTGCTGAATTACATCACAGCAATATTAAGGGGATGAAAAAGTGTGCACATGTAGCTATTCTGTTTCGGGTGGTGCGAGTGGTATGAGAAAGAATCCAGGCGATTGAAATTTCCTATGACAGAACATCCTGTTCGCTGTGTAATCAGACCTCTGTCCATTAGGACATTCTTTTACAAACTATTTGAAAGATACTTGTCTTTCTTATGGGCCGGCACCTCTTCGGGAGCTCGTAGATGTGGTGGCAATACTTCGAAAAGAATAACTGGTCGTTGTAACGACAAGGACACAAGACAACTAATTTGAAAGGGGTGAAACGACATTTTTTCCCGTGGTCAGAAAAGAATCCGGTTCAGAGTCTAAAAAGACGAGTATGCAAAACAGGCCTAGTACGAAGAAAGGATAAAAACCAATAAAAGTGCTCAAAGGAAACGAATACCTTGAACGATTTGTGGATAGAAAGTTAAAGGAGAGACCATTAACGAAACTCGTTGACAGGATTAGATGAAGGACTTATTCTTCTGCTAAGCTTTCAAGGAGATGCGGCATCTAGTTGTCATCCATTTACAGCGCAATACAGTGAAGTGAATTTCTCTGATCGCATCCATGTTCATGGTACACGTAAAAGTAAGAATGCGTAAGGTGGATAGGAAGTGGAATTGTTTCTAGGACCGAGGAAAGTGAACCTTGACGGTCAACACCCAGAGCATGCTGTTCAACAATGCATACACGTCTCTTTAAACATTCTGACCCGATGATGAGAAGTGACAACCAGAATACCATTGCTATTCTCCAACATTTCTTTTGATGTCTCAAAAAATTGGTTGCTAAGTCTTTTGCACGTTAACATTGAAACCGGAAAAAGAGGAACAGCATTTCAGGTCGTCCGACGGATACAGGTAAAGCCAGAATACGCAATCTCTATCATGTGACAAGCCCCATCTCTGCAGATTGAATTCCAACACTTGCCACGCGATGGAAGCGATGGGCATTCGCCCATTTGCACCAGAACTGTGTAAACTGTTCTAATTAGATTGGCAACCCCAACTGAACCAAAGTCCGAACACGACAAACACAGATGCGAGAGGGTTCATTCACTTCCGTTTCCACCTCTTGTCCTAATGATTTTCTGATAGAGTGTGCAACTGGTGTGCAGTTACAATGAACTATTTCCTGATCTGTACTGGCAAGACAATGAATCACAAAGAATAATTGTATGTCCTGGAACGTATGCTCTCAAGTTACAATGGGTTTATTATGGAAAAAACTGGTTTCAAGTCTAATGTTCTAAACATGAAAAAATGTCACATAAGGCGACGGGCATTACCAGGACTATTTAGATTGACAGTAAGGAAAAGAAATCAAAAGTGGGTGATGCAAAACCATGTGTTTACGCGTTGCCGAGACTGTTTTATCGTCAGGTGGAGGGTTCAGCCAACTTGAAGGGTGAAAGAAACGTTTTGCGAACTTGATTAAAGTAGGAATATTGGTTGAATGATTCCCGAATATCCCACGAACACCGACAACAACAGCCGTTAGTGGTGCGAACGGGTGAAAGAGTCACATCAGTTGATTCACCACCGTGTGGAAAATGCTTCACGCCGTTTCACATGACTTGCTGATTTGTTCAATCCGCATACACATTAAACGTGACCTACCGGGTTATTGAGAGTATGATAAAACCCCGGTAGTGGACCGGGTGCAGCGTGATCGTGTGCAAACATACAGGTCGCGTATCGCGATCCTGACGGGTCGACTCGAACCGTGGTTCGAAATGGTAAAGCGCAGTCGTAAACTCCATTGTTGTGAAATGCAAAAACTACTTAATAGGCAGGATGTTCTTACCGTCTAGTGCCTTACAGCCAGATCACGTGAGCGTCACTTAGAGCGTCTATTGAATCGATGAGTAAGTGGGGATGGAGATCCCCTCAGGAAAACACCTCTGTATGAATGAAGTAATAAATAATAATGACAATAGCAATAATAAAAAGATGTTTAGCTGGTAAAGGCAAAAGTCATGACTATTCAGCTAACTGGAGCAAGCTTTTCCCGAGATTAATTTCAAAAGAAAAGACCACATTGCAATACTGCACGATTAATCGATGGAAGCCCCCCGGCTTGTGCCAGCGAAAAGAATCTTATGTTAGTCTATCGGTACCCTGGTGATATGGTCTTTTTACCCCTCCCCTTTTTATGTTTTGTCTGTTTCAATGTATTTTGCTTTACTTTTTTACCACGCTAAAGCCCTATATAAACATTGCATTTTCTGCAGTATACACCATGTTGAGATGCAGCAAAATTGTCCTGGACATAAATCATGCTGTATTGCAATATAGTCAGTTAGCCATCATCTCGGAATGTTCAGTATTATTTGAGAAAATTGAAATGGTGAGGAAACAATTTTCGATAAGAAAAACGATCGATTGATGGAGCGGTACGTGAAGACACAAGATAGTGAAAAGTGCCTCATGATTCTTTAGTAAGATAGACTGATTTTATGGTGGATTGATAAACTTGATCAAGAAGCTAGATACAAATCCTTGAAAATAATATACCGATCGCTATTATTGTTGTGAGGTACTGCTCACATTTGTGAGTAGTATGCAAAATATTTGGTGATTTTTTTTCGACGATCAAAAATTAACAAGACCATTAAAGGCAAATTGCTGGGTCTCAAAGAACACCTATTGATTGTTGTATTCATTACCCGTTGTGCGGCCAGGAACTGCGATGGTATGTTTCTGATGAGATCTTTGTGTTATGTACGCCGAATTAGTGATGTCACATCTGTAATCCTCAATAGACAACTATCCTCAATTGAGCACCGCCTTGCGGAATTATAACATTAGGACTGATACAATGCGGTAGATTTGATTAGAAAGGAAAGATATACACCGGTGAATCAGTATATCCGAGACCAAAAAAGTTATAAAAGGTCAAAGTCGAAAAAAAAGTTTTATCAAGCTACCAATCAGCATAGATTGATTGATTGACTGGTTGAAATCTCGTGCTGGAATTGTGAAGCCTGGGCAGGGACGCCGTCCAGGCTTTGGTAGAGGACACTCCACCGAATGAGCTACGTGACTACATCAATAGCAATGATGTTTTCCCACTCCAATCACCTATCCAATTTACGCAGGCACACGGAATCCACCAAGTACCGTGACTCATTAGCTGCAGTAGTGAAACTGAAGTATCGACTACAAAGTTTGAGAATATGATTAGGTTGGGGGCTCGAGTATACTGAGGCATGGTTATAGGAACAGGATTATGAATCAATGGGAACTCATCATCCTGGATAGGNATAGGGATTGCGTTGAAGGGATCCCGAGATGAGCAACTAATCGAACGCCAAATAAACGCAAACACTGTATTAACTAAGCAAGGATGCAATTTGTTTACAATCCTAAACCACGTGGTCAGACGCGTTTGCAGAGCAAGAGGAATAGTTATCGACGCATTTGTGCAAATGAACAATTAGGTCATTGCTAACAAATGACACGTACGTGTGAAAAACTGACAGTATTGTGAAGTTGAAGCAATCGGTTTTAGAAAGTAACTTTGCAGTCATCTATATCATTCATACAGGGGGGAGTGTAGCATAGATTCCGAAACGTATGAGCTAACCTCTCTGTGACTTTCTGATTTATGATGACCACCACGTCAACTTGCACGTCGAATGTTAAAGTGACACACTTTGATAGATCCTACGGAGCGTGTAGGCGACCTCGATAAGAGATCATTGAGCCACTCACCATGGATCAAAGCTCGTTAAATAGACAGAAACATGACAGAGAAGGAGAAACCTTCAATGATCGCGTTCACTTTGCGTGGTACAGAAATGAACCAGTGATGAGAGGGAATAAGGCGAGACACGTAGAGAAAACAGAGGTTCATCGGGACCTAGACACAAAACAAATACAAAAAAATTGGATCTACTCTCGGATGTTGAAACATGGCTGTATTTGCTTTTAGAGGCTCTGCCCATATGAGAAGGTAAATCGGTATCATGGATGAATCCGCGTTAAGTAGTGGGGAAATGGTACAAGATGTGTTATCTGCAATACCAGTCGGTTTTTCACTTCGAGAGTGCATCTCTGTGCAGTCAAGTTAGAGAGAGAGAGATAAAACGAGAGATGACAGCGGCGTTACCTTAGTGCCTGGTCAGGCTCACACAATTTCAGATGCTTTCCACGAGATAGTTGTAGCTTTCACTCGAGAAATTGCTTGTCAAGCGGAAACCCGCCATGAGCAAAGATGTCATCATTGATTGGCCGAGACCGTGTATTCAATGGAGCCTAATCGCAGTTAACCCTCGTCCAAACAGCCTACGCGACCTGACGGTGGGCACGGTAACCCGCACCTATACTGATCGTAAACTTGTGGTAGCCTGTGGCAGCCCGGGTGTGAGACCAGAGAAGAGATATTGGGGAAATCCACACCGTTTAATGCATGGGATATTTGAAACTGATGGAAAATGAAATGAGAGGAACGAACGGAGCATCGCTAATGCTCCCGAAAAATGAGGCGATAACATACAAATAAAGACCGTTCAATGGGACACAGGTGATGAGATGAAAAACAACACAGTTTGGACAGAGTGCAATCTTGTTCAATTGATTGATAACTGGTGTATATTATTCATTGAATTGAACCAACTCAATAACCGATTGGTAGTGCCGTTTCACCAGATAGAGACATTGAAATATCTCTCACAATTCGAATCACTGTGACTTAA